ATAAGCACTTAATTTAGCTTTAATTATAAGTATTAAAAAGTTACTTTTTATACACGGCTGAATAAACGTACAATGAATAACATTTAAATAGAGTAACATAACTAGTGCTAATTAAGCCTTAATCCGTACATATTTACTATAGGTTACCAAGTTCAGACTGTATACACGTTAAATTAAAATTGCGCTGTAAAGTAAATACAGTTTTTTATCATCTTTTAGATACTTAATAAAACTTTATTCGCATTATATACCTATATAATATAATTTACATATAATTGTTATATATTTTACATACGGTGAAACCTGTATATAACGGACAGTCACGGGACCAAAATAATTGTCTGTTGTAGACAGGACGTTTCAATAGGTATATGTTGTTTGCCACTATATTGTTTCTATATACAGTATAATAGTTCTATACACTATAGATAGATTTATTATTTTATGTACCTATACTAAAGCTACATGCGCAGTCTACTAGCTGTTATATGTTATTATTATAGGTAATAAAATATTATAATATATACGTCCATCGTATATTATGGCTATCACTTAAGTCTCAGACCGTCCCCGTATTTCGAAGAAAAAAGAAATAGCTATGGCAAATCGTTCAATCTAATTGCGATTTGCGACAATAATGTACCTAAATCGTTATTCCCCGTATTATTTTGAGTGTTATAGTTAAATTATTAATACCGCATTACCCGATTGGTTATTGTATATAAATGATCAGTACCTATCTTATGGACTTGGGAAAGCCCTGCATTTTATTAGATGAACACGAAAGCATAATATCTTATAATATCAATACTATATTAGAAATAGTTTTCGTCGTCCTACGCGCGTCCGTCGACAATTAATATATTGTTTAATTTCGTTTACTTCGCCGATTATCATAATTCATAACATAATATAATAAAACACTATTCCTATAAGTTTAAGATACCTACTTACGTAATAGCGGGGTATCTTTTGTAGCATAGGATTTTAGTTTTTATTTAAATAAATCTAAATAACTGTAGTTACCTACTTATTTTTAACATCCTAGATTTGTATTAAACAACACTCTTCTTCAATTAAAGATTAATTTATGATATAATATTTAGAATAATATTATATTATATTGTACCATGAAACAAATAGAAAGTAGAAACTGTAAAAGTAAGACAAAAAAAACGAAAATACAAATCGTACAATTTATTATATAATACCTTAAAATAGTGAAAATTAAAAGATAGTCAAAATATTACAATATATTATAATAATTATAAATAAAAATAATTAAGTATTATAATAATATAATATATATATAATAATGTATATAGTTGGAATAAAAATAAAAATAATAATAAATACTTATTTAAATATAATATAATTATTTAAAGGCGCAGGTATTATAGTAGGCGTATATATTTATATTAATTTATTTGACGAAGTGTGTATGATTGGAAAACCTATTTTTTGATCTTGGATTTTTAAAATCATATATTTGCACTCAATATCGTGTATACTCCAATATTCATATTCCGTGGGAAGATCATCAACTACATAAATACCAATTTTTGTGCTATCAATGGGACTGTTATAATAAGGCTTTTTACTAGAAAACGATTTACCTACAATAACTATCCCTCCAGATTTATCATAACAAATATTTTTAATTTTTACAATTTTTTTTAGTTTAGTAGAAATATAATTATCTGAAGAGGTAATATTTATTTGAAAAGTTTTTAAAATTAAAATTTTATATTGTGGGTTGTGTAAATCTTGTAATAAGGGTCCATTTGTATGTTGTTTTTTTAATATAGTGTCGGCCGGGCTAACTGTATTGGTACATTTTTGGAATTTAAATTTTTCCTCATACCTTTTTACAGCTTGCTGTAGCGGCTGAGCTGATTTTCTCATTGTTTTTTTAAGTGTTCTCATATGGTTCTCAAAAGGGAAAGCACTTGCGTTGTCCAAGGGACCAAAATTATTGTAATCATCGATAAGATGTTGGAGTGCATGAATATTGTGTGATGCATGTTCCGAGCCATAAATTAAACAAAATTCATTTATAAAGTATTTTATAAGTGCATCACAAAAATTAAGCATTTTAGTTAAATTTGGAGATAGTAAAATTATCATGCAAACATGTAAGCAAAGAAAATTAAAATAACATTTATCGTTAATATTGTTTTTCAACACAATTGGCCCAACATATAAAACAAATTGTCGAAACTCGGTTGCCTTGAAGTAGTTAGTCACCTCGTCTAAACTCCTAGGTTTCCTTGGGAAATCAGAGGTAATACAAGATTTTATACTTAGAATGTTTGAATTTATTTCGTTCAATTTTGTTGAAGTTATTCGAACATTTTTTGGGCCCTTAGACTTTGGGAACAGCCATAATTTTAAAAGTTTTTTAGTAACGCCTAAGCAACAGGGATGCATATAATCCAGACAAAACACATTAATTATATTAATATTTGGTAAATTTATCAAAATTGACATTTCGGTGTTGGCTAAATGATGTTTTTCCTGCATTTTACTAATAAAAGATTCGTGGGTACGCTTTTCTTCGTCAATAGCAGGGAAACAAAGTCTATTACATTTATAAATACCTTGTGTTTCACACCTGGTACAGGAAAAAAACCCTGAATGACCTTTAATCTTTAATATATACGATTTGGCCGGCGCGTCGCATACGATAGTATCTAAAACAACTTGTTTGACAATACGTCTTTTATCTATTGTTTCGAAGATTATGCCATTTATAATTAAATATGACATTTCTTCATAAAAATCGACTAAAAATTCATTACTGTCCTCTGGTTTTTTATTGCCCCAATAAATACCGATGGGAAAAACGGTTTCTTTATAATATGGTCTTACATAACACAATATAGGCCAGAAAGAACTACCGGAACTCCTACTTAAAGGTAATCCGTCAATACCAAATACTAGTTTTAAACAGTTATCATTAATATGCCTCTCAATTGGGTAACATTTTTTTATACAATTCGCAATGCCAAAATGATAATAAAACCCCGGGTTGACGTTCTTCACTTCGACTTTTTTTGATGACACAGTTGTTTTTAAAAGAGTCCTAGAATCTTTCGGTAGGGTTTTGAAACAGTGGTGTTCTGTTAATATACATAATAAATCATTTACTGCCACATTACTAATATTATGACTGACGGCCCAATTTGATAAATGATCATGAATGACGTCAATAGGCTGCTGTGTAATTAAATCATCAGTTTCATCATCACTACTTGATGTATCACAATAATTGTAATCTTCATAATCAGATAATATAATAGAATCGTCGAATGTAACACCAACTGCAATGTCTATAAAACAGTAAAAAATCTTAGAATTCATAAAAAAAGTAATATATTATTGTATCTCGATTATTCAGACCAGTAAAAAAGTAGAAAAAAGCCGGTATGAGTTAGAGCCAGTGGATAACTAATAATTATATAATTGTATAAAATAATTGTAGGTAGGTAAGTATTATTTTTATGTACCTACCTACCTATATAAAGGTATGGTTACCTGCAACTTTTATACTTAAAAGTATATCAGGTAATAATTAATTAATGTTGGAATAAGATACAAAATATATACATACCATATTTAAATGTATTATCCTGCTGATCAACAGCTACTCCAATGTTAAAGTGTTTATTACTAGAGCTAGGGCCCTGATCATTTGTCACATATTTATTTGAATTTTCCAACCTTTGTGGCAAAGGACAGTCGATTTTGTTTTGAGATTCGTCGATTTCCGAGTCTATAATATTATTATCATTTGACTCTGTTAAGATTAATAATAATAATAGTATTTATTTTCAAACTAACGCGGCAATATAATAATATATTAGAATCAGTGACGCCGAACCTAATTTAAGGAGACGCTATTTATAATACAGCCTAGCATTGGTGGGTGGGTAATCCTTATAGGTGGGTAGGTAGGTACTCAAAATAATGTATAGTTTAAAAAATAGTTAAATGTATGTATTTAAGAACAAATTATTTCACAATTATGCAAATATAAGAAAGCAGTTGTAGCCGTTGTAGGTACATAATATTGTTAAAAATAACGCGAACTTTGTGTGATAGCGTTATATAAAGTTAATAAAGCAAGCTTCTACAATAGGTATACTACCAAAATATTGACTAAAAGAAGTATTTCCAGATATTTATATAGTGCGTGGTGGATTTAAGGGGGGCCAGAGGGGCCAGCCCCTCTAATCGGCTTACCATCTAGCCTTCTAGGTTAATGAATTAGGCATTTTTTTAATATTTGTGCCGCAAGACATGGAAAAAGACAATGCCCCCCTCCCACGCAAAACAAATTTCTAGATCCGCTACTGCTATAGCTTAATGATTTGACGTTACCTACCTATATCAAGTAAATCATTGTTCATTGCCACTTCATTATATGAGGCCACATTATTACGCCACACATAAAAGTATAAAACATTTAGTTGGGCACCACTGATTGCAAGATTACAAGGCACAATTTTAATTTAGCTCCCAAGAGAATTTTTCGAAAATTGTTTCCCAAAACATGTGTGTTAACTTTTAATTGTTTTAACGATCTTTTTATGAGGACACATTTATAATAATTATTATACAGTAGTAATTGCGGTCACCTCCAATATGTCGTACTTCATTTATTTCGTCTAACAAACGACGTCTTTTCGTCCTTTCGCTCATTTTAAAATGTCTTTTTCACTGTTAAAAAATAATATAAAAAAATTGATGTAATTAAATGCAATTATAATCTATACAATCTATACTAATAAGTAATATTATATACATATATTTACCTACCTATTTTATAGTTGGGCGTACCTATAACCTTTAAAAAGCCTCCAAAATTAACAAACAATATTATAATTTATTTATAGGAATAGGTGTAATATGTATAATTGTATTATGAACACAACGTAGTACCTATTTGGAATTCAAATTTGGAAGTATATAGATACACCTAATGAAAACTATTTAATAGGTAATAATATTTTTGTTCGTTTTGTAATTGTGTGAATGACCAGTATAATAATATGGTAGATACTAGATATGACGTCTAGTAATACCATAAATATTATATTTATATGCGTTGCTTTTGCGATAACGATACGCGTCGACTTGGTGGTCGAGTAACTGGAAACTACGTAGTACGTTTATTTTTAATAATATATTATCGATAATAATATTATGCGTGCACGACGCCGCGACTTCCCATTCGCTTATTATTATTTAATTACTATTACCACTCGCGTGTAGTCGTTACTCGTTACTCGACAATGTCATTTTAAACTCTTTACCGTTTCGAGGTTTGTCGTTTGTCTTGTTCTCATTGTCATTTGTCATTGCTTACCCCGTGTGTCTATGCTCTCGACTCTATTTTACGTCTTTACTGTTACATCTGTGTACGTGTACTTCTAACGTATTTTTACTGTAATGAGGTCAATCGTACATTTTTTGGATGAAAATACCGTGGAAACTGTACCAAGCAAATGGTTTTCAAAAAATAAATGTGCCTGGCCTAATAACAAAAGTAAGCGGCATATTGCAGATCAATCTGATCCGATTCCAGAATGTTTTAAATGGTATAAAGCTCGGGCATTGTTAACGGACATAGGTAAGTATTTATTTCTACTTAATTTAAGATGATTGGAAGTAGTAAATGGTGATTTATTCTTTTTGGTTTAATATACGTGAAATATAAATATCTTAGACGTAGGTATTCTATTTCCAACATATTTAACATTTTTGTCGTTAAGTTTACGACCAGGGGCGTATTTAAGGGGAGACATGAGGTCCGTGCCCTCTCCCCCATTCGCCTTATTTTATACTTTTTTTATTATTGAGAGTATTAACCTCCATAGGCCCTCTTTACACGCACGGGCACATGGTGGCATATCATTATATCATGATATGATATTGATATTTTGAGAAGAAAAGTACGAGATAAGTGAATAACTGTGTATAATTTGAACTTTTGTTTGTGCCCCCCTTCCATAAGACATTTCTGAATACGCCCCTGTGTACATACGACATTAATATAATAATATATTCTTTTGGTTCCCATTTTTTTGTAGATTATTTATACAATTTATACTAACTTAATAATGTAATAGGTATGTGAAATAAAGTTAAACACCAGATTAATTAATTAATATATATATATACATTTTGATTTTAGAATCTTTCTCTAAAGCGAATAGAAAATGCAAAAAAGCTTTATACACAACTAATTTATCGTCTACTGAAACAGAAAATGATGAAATGATGAACAAAAATCAAAAAAAATCTAAAGAAATGTTACAGTATAATTCGACAAAGCGTAATAAAATAAAATTGACTGGATACAATGAAAATGACAAATTTTCAGGTAAAAAAATGTAATTTAATAGTACCAACTTAGTGTAAGATCGCTATTACAGAATACCTATTTGTCACCGGTAGGCTTCATATTTTTAGTTAATTCAAATTTTCAACAAATAATATTATTATAATTTTCAGACATTGATACTGCTGACGATGACGATTACACAGCTCTTAAAATACCAACATACGAGTCTGGTAAAATGTCAAATTTTTATTTTATTATACCCCTTAAGTGGCCTCCATACCAACATTTGTTTTTTTACGCATAATATATATTATAGGGACATATAGATTATATTCTGTATTTCCACAATTACGACTTACTCTGTGGTTCAGTTTAGAGCAAATCCACCTAGGTGGTATGCATTTTATAAAGAAAAATATTTTCTATGCTGAGATAGGTTTTTTATATTTTCATTGTTGAATAAGTTAATTAAAAATAATCAAAATTAAGTTAAACTAACATGCTTAGGTATATTTATAAAAAATTAAAATGTTAAAAAACTATCCGTCCGAATCACAGAAAATATTATAAAGTACATATAATTATAAGTGCGTTCCCCCTAAACTAGACCAGCTAGAGAGCTGTATCAGTGGAAACATGGATTAATATCTGTGTTTCTATATTATGCGCGAGATAAACAGAGAAAATAAATGTTGATATTGGTGGTCCCTTATAATAATAACTGTATTATATTAACTCATAGATGATGGTACAAGTACAAAAGAAACTGTAGAAGGATCTAATAATAAAGAACTTCAAAAAAATGAATTCTCTTCTCCATCTTCTAACCAAAGTAAACCATATATTTTTAATACAATTAACTATACAACTATTGAGTACCTACAATATTTAAGTTTTAGATAAAATTCATTCAAAAATTGAATCGCCAAGCAAAATCGATCATCATGACATTGAATCTTCAAATATAACACCTCAATTGTTGGGTATGTATTTGATTTACATAAAATCATTATAAACAATATTAAACGTAATATTTATTGCCTATACCTACTTATGTTATAGTTAAAACCTCGGCTAAAACTCATCATTCATCATTTTCATTGCCTGCAAGAAAACATATTCAAAACAAATCTCCAATGAAAAGATTTTCTCAAAGTTGTATGTATTTAAATATTTTTGATTTAATTTTTATAATATTTTCTGATATTTTGAATCTATATTATGTTTTATAGACAATGATCAATATTTAGTTGTTGAATCTGATAGAAAAAAAAATGGAAATGCATTTCGAAGCCTGCTGTCTCCCGATTTGTGTATGTTTGTTTTTTTATAAATGTTAAAATTTATATATTTAATTGATTTTATCTTTTTTTTTATAGTATTGAGTAGTCCAGAATTTTCACCATCTCCCAAAACGACGAAAATCATTGATCAACATAACTCGCATAAAACTCATTTAAAAATTGAATCGCAAAGCAAAAATAATCATAAGATCAAATCTCCAATAAAGATAAGCCCACAATTGTTGGGTATGTATTTAATTTGCATAAAATGTTTATAAACATTAAAAAATGGGGTAATGTTTATATTAAGCGTAATATTTATTGCCTATATACCTAATATGTTATAGCTAAAACCTCGGCTAAAACTCATCACTCAACATTTTCATTGCCTGCAAGAAAAAATATTCAAAACAAATCTCCAATGAAAAGATTTTCTCAAAGTTGTATGTATTTATATATTTTTGATTTAATTTGTATAACATTTTCTGATGTTTGAATCTATATTATGTTTTATAGACAATGATCAATATTTAGTTGTTGAATCTGATAGAAAAAAAAATGGAAATACATTTGGAAGCCTGTCTCCTGATTTATGTATGTTTGTTTCTTTATAAATGTTAAAATTTATATATTTAATTGATTTTATCTTTTTTTTTATAGTATTAGTAATCTAAATTGTTCATGTATATGTATAGAAAACGTTAAATGTATAAAATATCTAGGATTGTATATTGATTCGCATTTAAAATGGAAAAATCACATTGAACATTTAATATCATTAAGTCGTAAATTCTTTTATATTTTTCGTAACCTTAGATCTATACTCGATAAAATACAATTAAGAATAATTTATATCTCACTCGTTCAATCAGTTATTACGTATGGTATTGAGAGTTGGGGTTGTGCTTATGATACTCATTTAAATAAATTGAAAACAACTATGAATAAACTAATTAAATTTATATTAAAGTTGCCTAGCTACACAAGTACTGATACTATATATAAGGAATTAAATGTATTTAATTTTGATAAGCTGTTTAAAAAAAGTGTATTATTACTTATATATAAGCATAGGAATTTTGTACCAATATGTAATCATAATGTAAATACTAGATTTAAGAAAAATGTAAATATTAATATTCCTAGATGTTATAAATCTTTTGGCTTCAAAAGCACAATAAATACTGCTATTACTCTTTGTAAAGACTTAAAAATTAATATTAATATCTTCAATAATTATAATCATTTTAAAAATACCATATTAACACTACTCTAAGTTATAATGTATAATTATTAAATCTATTCATTTTTTTCATTTATTATTATTATATAATTGTTTTTTTTTCTTTCTCTCTCAAATTAATCAATTCTTTTCTGTTTTAGTCTATTTATATTTATGTCTAATATTTTAATTTTCTATATTAAGAACTCATCACCTTCAATACAAGCACAGCTTATAGAAGGTGAGCAGACGATACTATTATAATTTTATTGTTAAGTGTATTAATTGTTTGTTTGCAAATAAATAAATAACCAAATAACCAAAATAACCAAATAGGTAGGTATTTACCTTATACCTATATTGTTTTACATATTTTAGAATAACAAATGTATATTTTGAGGTTTATACTTTTATTATATCAAAGGCGTAATTTTAGATGTTGCAGGGTATGCTTATGCACACCTAAAATAGTAAAATGTATCAAGATTGCATTTTTGCATTACTTTATAATTTTTCTTTGCCCTTTTTCTTTTAAACTATTGGTCTTAAGTATTGGAAACTATAGCTATGTGAAATTATTATTAATGCATTAGTTAAATTAAATATAAAAATCTTTGGGTTATATTAAATATTGTATGTAAGACTGATATCAGGATTTATTTTATATACAATATGCATACTAATTTAGCTTATTAGATGGATAATACAATGATTTTAAGTAATGAACGTAGCGAGAAAATAAAATGTATAATAACATTTGTTATTTTAACAAGCATGGTTTAACAACAAAACCTTTAGAGTTAAGCACTTTCCAAAAGTCAGTGAAAATAACAATAATTGAAATTGTATACAACTTTAATGTTTTATACCTTAAGTTTTTCACATGCTCCATACATAGAAGCATAACCTAAGTGCATCATAAATCCAAGTACAGCCTTTTCAGAAGCACTACGAACACTTGCATTTCTATCTTCAAGACTTGTGTAAAGAACCAGAAGCAAACATTTCAACTCATCAGCAGGAATTGACTTAGAAGGGACTATATAAATAAATAATTTAATTATAACTTTTTCAACTAAATTAATAATTAAAATCATACTGAGTGGCAACTTTTCTGCAAGCCAAGTCCATAACTCTGATCTTAATGTTACTGAATTATTTTTTAATGCATCCAAAAGTATATCACCACCAAAAAATTCACGATAACCGCATACATCTGCCCATGTATTCATACATTGACGAGCACTTTGACATTTAAACGTCTAAAATAGTTTATACATCATTATTAAAATTTATTCTAAAAAATATTAATAATACAATACCTTTGGGTCACCCAATGCATTTAAGACACCAGGTAAATAGCCTTTTATATAGTTTTTAAAAGATGATCCCATAGCTTTTGAAATTAATTCTACCAAGTTGATTGCATTCGAACCAAGGCGAGCATTTGAATCACTTATTCTAAGTAATAATGACCAACAAAAACAATTAATAATAATAAATATTATTTTTAAACATTTATAAGTAATAGTTAACTAGTGTATACCTGTCTTGCAAAGCTTTTCTAGCTTCTCCCAATTCACTAGTTATAAATTTGGCTTCATTAACAATATTTTGCAATTTGGTTAAAGCATCAGATCGAACCTAAATATATATATATATATGAATTATAAAGTGTTTTATATCTACTAATAATATTTATACTACTTACTTTCCAATCTTTATCTGAAAATTCATTAATCAAAGTGTTCGAACACCGATCCTCTTGGCGCGTTTCAGCCGGGTCAAAGGCCATCGTAGCGCAAGTGACAGTCCGGTCTACACACTTGTCTAGTTTTCCCCCCGAGTGGTCAAGCTGTGATCGCCGTGAACTTGTCGCCGCCGTCTCGATCGACGCGTCAACTCTGTCGCGCCATATACACTTTTTTCATGACTGTCGTCTAAACCGGTCGACCTGTGTTGTTGCCGCACTAGGCCCGACACCTTTATGTACGTGTGTGCCCGGTTACGTTGCCCGGTGGCATAGGAACCACGCGCCCTGTTATTGTCAATCCGGTGTTTATATAAACTTACATCTTGGTTTATTTGTTATGTGACGTAGTAATATATTATTATATCCAATAACCGTCGGCCGTATTCATATGTGTATAATATATATGCATATTGGTTCGTATACATATACGTCGTCAAGCTGGTCCTATAATCATCTACCACACCAGTGAGGAGTGTCAATTTGGATCCGAGGATCGTGACTACTGGATACTCAGGTCTATAAGTTGCATTATTGTATTGTATACCATTATTTGGCCTTAAAGGTGAATTTAGTATTTATATTTTTGTACTATTTATTATTATAGTTATTTAGGTGCTATTTATTATATTGATTTTGGGGCCCCGTGTTACTTTCATATTATATTTGTAAGTTTGTTTGTAGCACTTTGTGACAGTGTCACATTAATATACATATTATTTATAATTTATATTTAATTGATCTTATAATCATTTGTTGTTATTATTGGTCACCCAGTTCATTTCTGTCTATCATCTGCGCAAGTTGCGGCAGAAAACTGCATTCTATCGTAAGCTCTGTCGCAGCGAAAACACAAAGCATCAGTTATTTGAGGAGATATATCTACTCTTGGTACTATGTCTCGAATGTTAACTTCATATGATGGTTTTTCATCATCACTTGCCGTTTCTATGGATTCAGTGGATCCGTCCATATTTTTGCCCCGTGTTGGTTTAGGAGGAGCTTCTCCTTGATGCTATTGAACAAAAAAAGAATTACATGTATTGTTATTTCTTACAGAATATATTATAAATAACAATTAATCTTACCTTTTCAAATTCTGCATTTATTTGTTGCACTAAAGTTGGTTTTTCATTTTCGAAAAACAAACTTAACTGAGGTCCCATATATAAAGATACATAACACCCAGAAGAGAAATAACAGCTAAACGAACTTGAGGATTAGAAGCACTCACAGCTTTTTTGACATTTTGCATCACAGATTTAGGTTCAATACTAAAACAATAACAAAAAAAGGTGGGTAAGTGGATGTTGCTCTGCCATACAGTAGATTACAATTGGGTCACTGTAATGGATGGATATAATCTTATAAGGAATCTTGTATTACATTTTAAAATCAAAATATTTTGAAAATGTTATCGCGTATAGAAACTGCAAATATAAACAACCAGTGAAAATTCCATGCATCTGCGGTTATTTTTTTTAGAGTTACACCAAAAACCAAAATCGATTTTGTGTAAAAATTCGCGTTTTTCCTTAATTTTTCTTTTGTTTTTCATTTCGCTTTTGAAAACTACTGTGAAATTTTTACTTTTGACCCCTCAAAGTACCAACTAGATTCACTTTCCTATTAGAAAAGTTACTGTTGAAGAAAATCCAAGCATTTTTACTGTCCTAAAAGGTGATGACAGACACAAAAAAAAAAAAAATAAAAAAAAAAAACACACATCATTGTAAAATCAATATATTCATCGCTTCGCACAGAGTCTAAAATATTAAAATTTAATGAAAATGGACCAAGTTAGAGCTAATTATTATTTTGAATTTATAAAATATCAGCGTTCCAATTTCTGATTAAAGCATGCGAATCGTACTTTGCTAATGTTGTAAGCATAGATAACACTGAGATACTAAGGTTGATTCTGGACTTCTGGGACATACTGTTTATTGAAATGATGTTTTATTTTTCCATAGTATTTTTAGTATGTATAGATTTCTCTCAAGTATTACAAACAATTAATTAAAGAAATTAAAAAAAATAGTGTATCTTTTAACCCAGGATCAATATAAACTATAAACAAGCTATTATAATTCTACATATTGATGGTAGACAAGAAATATTCAATTATTAAAAGTAACAACACTAAAAAAAAAAAAAAAAAATAAAAGTTCAATAATACATAGGTACTATTATTTGTTTACCAGGTACCAAAGAGGTGTATATCCACTTTAAATAATTTTCAATTCGATTTTAATAAAAAATCCATATGCAATTGCAGGTGAGTTTTGAATTAATATTATTTAATTAATTATTTCCTTATTTTTTTTTTATATAAAATATTATTTTTGATAGATTCATTGGCGAACTCTTTAGAAATGGTGCTTTTCCTGAAAAAGTTATTTTGTCATGCATTACAGATTTAAGTAAAGAAAATGATGAAAATAATGAGCTACAAATGCATTGTTTATGTACAATACTACAATTAGTAGGACCAATATTATCAAAAGTAACAATACCTAGAAAATTTCTATGAAGAAATTGATAAATATAAATGGTTTTTTTTCTAGACACATGATTTGAACAAACCAGTTAATAAGCTTGTATCCTCTATAAATAACCATGGTATGCCATCGACACTACAATGTTTAATACATCAAGTAAAAAGAATGCATTCCAAGGGTTGGATAAATGAGGGTAATTGTTTTTAGTTTTAAAATAATTTTAAAAAATTACTGCTGTATAAGTATTGAGTGTACCTTATCATTGAGTCACTGTAATAGATATGTTAGTATTTTTTTTTTTATATATAATAATTATTATATATAAAAAAAAAATATTTATGATAAATCATTGCGTATTATGAAGAACAATTTTGAGAGGTGATGGACATGTTTTTTTAGTAATTTATATGGATATTTTAATATATTTATATTGTTATAAGTAATTTATTTTTCTGTTAGTCATACGATATGTTTGTTTCTAAAACAAATTGTATATAATAATATTATATTATAATTTTATATAATTTTTCCAGTTGTTATTAAGAGGATGTCAGTACATTATTTTTTTCTCTCTCTCTGACCCACGCCTAACATAGAAAATGTTAGGTGATCTAATTGCAAATATGAGGGGCTTTAGGGCCTAAGCCCCCCCCCCAAACAGTTCCTACATTTTGTTTTAAACTTCAATATTACCATAGTAAGACTTTATCGCCCCCAAATCCCAAATGCTATTTGCGCCTATGATGAGAGGGTGATAGATAAGTAAGGTTAGGTTAGGTTAGGTTAGGTTGCAGTAGCGCGTCGGTCTCAGTAGCGCGTCGGTCTCAGTAGCGCGTCGGTCGTCGTAGCAGAAGCACGTTGTCCGCACGAACACCGTCCTCAAGTCGCCGTCCAAGCATCTTGCACGTCCTGCTCCGAGGCCTGCCCCCCGTGGCAGATAC